TTAAGTTAATAAATTTAAAATTATTAAAAAAGATCTTTTAAGTAATAAAATTATTTTTAAGGTTAATTTAAGTTAATTTATTATAATAAAGTAAAATAATTATATCTTTTAAGAATTAGTAGTTAAGTATATAAATCTTTTTTAAGATAAGGTTATATTTAAAAAAAAACTCTTTAAAATATAATATATTTATATATAAATCTTTAAGGTTAACTTATTTTATAATATAAAGAGTTTTATATTAAAGTAAAAAACTATCTCTTTTAATAGTCCTTAACTATTTATAGTTATTATAATTACTAATTAATATTAGTCTATTAGGGAATATATATATATATTATATTATAAGTTAGTTAGTATTCTTAATTATAGTTATTATTATTAGGTAGGCCTTAGCCTATAGTTATTAATCTAGGTATAAAAGTGGGTTAAATATTAATTTAGGCTAATAAGAGGGCTGTATTTATTAAGGTAGCTGGTGGCTGTAACATAATATATTTAATATAATATAGCTATATTATAAGGTAAAGTACTCGTTTTTTTATCCTCGTATAATAACTTATTTATATTATCAATATTATAATAATATCACCTAAAAAGTAGGTATTTTAGTGGGATTTAGGGTCGTGAGCAGAATTACCTGGACCTACTGTACATGGCCTTTTGTACCGTACACACCCATACGAAGACTTGCGGCGGGGATCAAGTGGTGTCCATGAGCCGTGGTACTACCATAGCAAGCAAAACAAACTTATGAGGATGGAGGCCGAGGACGCTTTTCGATTTCGCGGCATCGCACTCGTGGTGCTCGCTGTGGTGGCAGCGACAGGGACTGCCGCTGCTGTTTATTCACCGGGAATGCTTACGTCGTCGCTCCTGAGGGAATTTGTTTCGTTCTGCACCCCGGTACCTGATTGCGCGACGAAGACAAACGGCTTAAATGGCTAGTTACTTTTTTTTTTGTCACCAAGACGCGAAAATACGGCGTTGCGACCGAGCCGAAAGCAATACAGCTTCTTTTTTGACTTTTCCTTCTCACGTCCTGTCCATACAGCAGGCGTTATGGAGGGCTTATGACACAACTGGTGAGCAACGAAACCGTATATGCATTATCTGTGTGATGAACAGCTGGCCATGACGGCGAACCCTATGTATTGTTCTACATCGCCAACGAAAATCAGCCCCCTTGCAAAAATACTGTGCAACCACTAGGGCCTGGGTAAAATGGATTTGAGAAATGTGAGAAAAAAGAAAGAGGGTTCAAATGCACGATCGATAGGCCCCTAATAGCATAAAAGTGCCTCCGCTTCATAGGCAGCCTATTCTGTCTTCCACGCTGCTCCAGTATACCAAAGGCCGAGGCTCAAGAAGGCCAAGTTCTGCGGGGAAGCTGCTTCGCTCTTGAACAAGACCAACAATGGATGGTTGTCTGTTAATGATACTGTTGAGTGTGACGGCGGCACTGAAGCCCATGAATCTGCCTGGCGGAGCAAGGCTGCGGGTATGGCTTTGTGATGGTGTGATGAGAACGGCAGTGCAGAAGTTGCTTGGCATTTTATTGTGCTGAAGCCGTGAGGCGGCCATGTTGATGTAAATGAAACTAGTTTGACGAGATCCGGTGCTGCTTGCCGTGGTGGTATGTTGCATTCGCGGGCAAGAGACTGTGCTTGTAGCTGAAAGATGTGTTTCTTACTGCGCGAAGTCGTGCGCGTTTCAGCTCAATATATGAAGAAAGCAAAGACGTATGCTTCTTGCCCATCAAAGGTCCCTTGGACTTTGTGTATGTGCTATGGGGCGAAAAGGATCGCTCCGTGGAAGTCTAAAGTGCTGCCCAGCCTTCTCTGGAAAGAGTTCAAGTTTCAGGACCAGGACAGCAAGAACTGCTATTGTGCTGAAGATGCAGGTTGTGCAATTTTCACCGGTATGAACAGATGTGATGTCGGAAGAGGAAGCAAAGAGTCCGTAGAGTCGGGGAAGAAAGAATAGTTGGAAGGAGAAGGCCAGTGCTTGCTGACAGCGGCGGCGGGAACATTTGGAGTACGGGCAAGTAACTTATTTAAACTGCCACGCAACAGTCATGTGCATAGGAAAGGATACACCCTTCAGCCTGTACTTGCAGAAACTAGGCAAATACGGGCTGCTTCAAGTGAGAATGCAGGTTGTGGCATGTCTGAAGCTGTTTCAGGCACGTTGGATTTGCGACAGTCAGAATAGCGCGTCTCCAGTTCTGAAACCGACGCAGCATCAGCTCCTGAAAGACTACGGCAGGAGTTCATGCAGCGCTACTAAGAGGCTAATCCTGACTGCCTCGTCTGTAGCATGAAATATATAGTAGAGCGCAGTAATAAGACCTCATATCACTGTAATATGCGCACTGGCCTCGTCCCAGCTTGCAACGCGATCTTCAGAAAGTTGCGAAAACAGTTTGATTGCCGCATACCGTAGCTAGAGGCGTCATTTAGGCCCCTATCCATTGATTAGAGTATGATAAGAAAAACCAGTACAAGCTCTAATTCATACATATGGAGCAGTCCTAGCTATGACACCAAGAATAGCAAGAATTGCGAGTCGTGCCAAAGTTCCCCAACCCCCTTGAGATGGATGTATATCCCAAAGTGGACTATAGCACTATGGCTTTTGCTACTCAAGTTCAATGAGTGGGCATTTCATTGAATCAGACGCCGTGTAGCTTCAATCAAGGTCGCCATATCTATAGGTGCTTTTGTTTGAATGTCGAAGAGTCTTGCTCTTCCTGATACTTTCCACCCAGACGGAATCATCCAACATGCCACGGGCTTGCGCAGGGCTTAGAGATCGACCTCTGCGTTCGGAATCCGCGTTAGAGGCATCCGAAGGGCTGAGTTGGAAATCCGTCCGCATAGGACTGACTGGTGGGGATAATCCTTCGCCAGATGTCCTGGGAAAACTCAATGGGTGCTGAACCCCGGAGTCTCTCGGTGAGATTTCGGCGGCCCAGATCGATGGTTTCTTGGGCGTCTCCAAATTCGTATTCAGACTTGGAAGCAACGGTCGATTTGTTTTATCGGAAGTACCGGCAGCTGTGTTCACGTTTGACTCCTCGTCGTCAACTAAAATTTCGGGCACGCTCAACTGAGGGACCATTGTCATACGCGCCGAACGCTTCATGCACATATGCTGTTTGAACTTTCTGGACCAGTATCTAGATTATAAGTTAGTTCCAAGCATGAACGCGCAACAACCCTATTTGTATACACTTACAAAGTATCGAAGAATCCTAAGACAATTCTTCGTCGAATTTCCTCATCCACACGCTGAAGTCGAGCTCTTCGTCGTAGAAATTCTTCGAGTCTACCGACAGTTAATGATACTGAGTTTTTAACCCAGTAAGCATAGAAAATGTTGCTAACCTGAGGCTCTTGCTATCATTGATGATTTTATAGTGAGCTAGAGTAAGTAGAACATCCGAGAATGCGATGCCTCTGTCAGGATCTGCTGCAACCAGGACTTCTTCAAAAAATATATTGAAGACGCGGCGCCTGGTTCGGATTCTCTCGATGTCAAGATTCATTAATCTTTTATTGAGTTTGCCGAGGTCGATCTCGCTACCGGTTTTTGAGACCACGACGGAGGAATGTCGCGACATTCCTCCGTCGTTTCGCACGTGGTCAAGGATCTGGGAGACAGAGTCTTCGGGATCGTAGATTCTCATTTGGAAAATACCAGAGAGCTCACCAAGCAGGCGCGGAAATTGACTCTTTGTAATATAGCCAGTTCCTGCAGAATCAACGCTTCTCCATGCTTCTTTGAAGCGACGAATCTCGTCTCTGTCAACGACTGCCATGCTGCTGGATCGCTGGTAGACATAGCTGAAGCTCTCATAGATTAGAGAAACGAAGAGGTTGACGAAGATGTACATGCTGATAATGTTCCAACCCACAAAGAGTATTCGCGCCCAAGGCTTGCTTCCACAATCACTGTCGAAGAAGGTTGAGTCCTTCACGCAAAGAGGTGGCTCAATACCGGCATAGTCTTCCATAATTTCGTTCCAACCTTCTCCCAGACTCATTCGAAATAGAAGAATCAGGGCATTGGGCACTGTACGGAAATTCAAGTCACTCGTTTCTTGCCCACCAAAGCGAGTTAAGCTGAAGGCCTGCGTCATTGCGATAGCAAATACCAAGAATAGAACGAGCCAGGTGGCTAGCAAGTTGCTAATGACCGTCAGACTTGCCGCCGCGGTTTTGAAGAGCTGATCCAATGCGTCATTTCGTGGTATCAGCAAGAGAATGATAGCCACCAAGAATGTCTTGTACAGCTGTTCGTAGGCCTGACCACGAGTACTGGCAATCAGAAGCGAAAGGGTGGCGATAAATGCCCCGGAAACCACGACTAAAGCATACAGGTCCCATGAACTTTTCCTGAATCTGCTCCAACCAAGCCCAAATATGCGTATCGCGATATTGCTCATGTAGATCAGGATGAACAACAAGGATACAAATTCTCGTGTTCTAGCCCACCATCGCGGTTCGTTATTGAATTCTGCGATGAGAAGGACGAGGTGAAGAACGAGCACCACTGTGATCATCCGATACCACTTGCCACGTTTCTCTATGGCTCTCTTGTGGCACCATCGCTTCCACTCTTTGCCCTTGTCATCGTAAGAGCTCTTAGATGGAGAGATCCGTCTCAAGAGCTTCTTCAGTTCTAGCCAGGATCGCTGCTCTGCTGTCAAAAAGGCAACGCCAGTTTGTTCGGTATAATTGCGCATGAAAACGGATATGAACAATGTAAGGATAAAGACGGTGGCTAATAGGTTGAACACAACAAAGAACATGGCATTACCCTGTGCGGCAAGGTCTTGGGGCTGCAATCCTCGGCCTGTAATGGCTTGTGCTGCGAATGACACATCTGTCCACCCTTCTTGGCTGACAATTTGATAGAGCGTAAACAGCGATGAACCAAAGTCATCGAACTTGAAATATGAGTTGTCTGCTACGCGGGGAGCTAGCATCACCCAATCATCCTTGAAAGGGGTGCTACCATATTCGCCAAAGCATTGGGCCAGTCGTGTTATGCCGTCGCCGTCATTACACGATATCATTTTGCCGTTGAAGATGTTCAGCCCGTAAATCGCAAATGGGATGAGCAAAGAGATCGAAACGAAAGCAGCCTGTGTGGTATCAGTACAGATGAATCAGGTTAATGGGAGTGTGCTACTGACGCCGAAAATCTTCCACCAACCAATGATGATGACCGCATGGAATGTGTCTCGGGCGCTGTTGCTGACATTCAGGAGCCGTAGAGCTCTCAATGCTTTAAAAGCTCCTACCGCTCGGGAGATGGCTCCATCATTGATGAATAGTGTAACAACATTGATCCAGAGTGTCACCAAGACCAATGTGTCCATGACTCCCCACAGGCTCCGTAGATACGCGTTTGGGGTCCAAAATGCGCCGTCTGCGATCATTTTGATGGCGGCCTCCAGCGTGAACACAAGCACGAATGCTAAATCCGTCCAAACAAACCAGTTAAGGTTATCTGCTTGGTGCACTTCTCTGTATTCTCGCTGATAAAGTGGGGTTGTGACACAAGCAATCACCACCATGGCCACGACGCAGGCATATACAAAGGCCGAAAGCGCATACCACGCGACCTTGTTAGGGTCAACTCCGTCGACTCGTTCAAAGCCTCTGGCAGGGCCTACAAGTCTCTGGCAAAATCTTCGGAGTTTGCTGGTTGGTGGAAACAAATACAATGTCGTGTTGTAATTCGGGTGTCTCGTGAGATATCCTCTTTGGGCTTTGCGCCTTGCAGCTGTTGCAGATACAACCTGGCGAGCCATTTGTCGCGGGTCCAACGTATCATTCGGTCCATCAAACTTAATGCTTGTATAGAATGGGTTAGGTTCCTGGTCTGTAAACTTGTTTTTGAACCTTTGCCAGACGCCGACCAAGCCAGAGCTCGAGTTTCGCGGCAAGGTTGATGGGAACCGGCCGGCCCCGTCGTTTTCTGGGGAGACTTGCAGAGGCTCCGCATTCTCATCATCAAGAAACTCACGGACTACCGCATCCTTGAGAAGCATTTCCATCATGGCGGGACCATAGTCCAAAGGATCACGCCGGCGACGAGACTTGGCCAGATTGAATATTGATGAAAGTGCGAGATTGCTTGCATTGTGGCCAAGTTCCTTGCGCTGTAGGAAGGCCTTGACCTGCTCAAGGCGCTTCTCATCCTCTGATACATCAAAGTTTTCTTGGATGACAGCAATGAACATGTTTACCAAGATGAAGTACGATAGCGTAAACCAGCCAATGAGGAATGTGGCGCCAATCCAGCCAGTTTTATAGCCATGCGCATAAGACGTAACCGAGTAGAGTATGTCGGTCCAATTTTCACTGGACAATATTTGGTACATCCCCAGAAAGGAGTTATAGATAGTAAAGAAGGATACGCGATTGAGTTCGCCACCTTCATTGAACACCGGGATCTCCCCCCGAAACAGCTGTGAAGCAAAGATGGAAACGAGAAACGTCATCAAAAAGACAAAGAGCATCAGGTTCGCAATACCAGCGGCGTTTCCGAGCACAAGTAGGATAAGTTTTCGGGTCATCGGCACCGCCAACACGATTCGGTAGGCTCGAACAATTTGAAAGACTGTGAGCCACCAGTATGCTGGTGTGTGGCGAATTGGTGGAATAAGTATGACAGTAGTGATGGTTGCCAGCCCGAGATCAAACAAACTCGCCCAGCTTCGGTGGAAATTTCTCCAATTTGAAGCCAGCCGCGCTGATAACTCAACATCTAGAAGAAGCGTAACTGCAATTTCAGCACCGTTGATGAATTTCTCGCGAGAGGGCGACATTCTAGCGCTGCGGCAAGCTTGGCATATTAATCCGAAGACGATGATCAAGGTGAAAAGCAGCTTAGTCTTCTCGACGACACGTTGCAGTGTCGATTTTCGAGTACGATCATCAAAGTGTGGCTGAATGGGTGATCGATGATCTGAGGTGAACGCGCTTCCCTTGCTCTCTTCCCGGATAATTTGGAAAGAGGAGGTAATTACCGCAATGAGAAGGTTGGTGAGCCAGAGGGTCATGATCATGATTCCAGCGCCAAAGAAGAGTGCGGCCTGCTGATAGTCGGAAGCCATCGCCTGATACATAAGATCCGAAAAGGTATTTGCGCTCATGATGACAAAAACTAGCTCCAAAGATTGCAAGATGTTGTCGAAATTCACCGTGCCATTAGACGGGTTGTCTTGCTGGAGGCAAAGAGACCCCCGGGGGCAAATGAATCCCTTACCCTTGCCTGCTCCAGGAACCAGACCTTCCAAAGAGTTGGAATTCCCAAACTTGACCCAAGGCATGATAGTACCAGTTTCGTTACTCAAATAACCTCCACAGAGCTGATCGTCATTCGTAAAGGCGGCCGATAAATTTGTCGGTTGAGAAGGGTCTAGCCAAATGCATTGACGACTAAAACTGGCCTTGAAGCTTTGAACGCCGATGATGGCAAACAAGAGCCAAAAGAAGCATAGAAGAAAAGCAACACGTACAAGCAGTGGTGCAGCCTTTTTGAGACTACGCAGAATGATTGCTGTGCCATGCGTAAGCGAAAGCAAGCGCAGAATGCGGAGACAGCTGAGCATTTTGAAGATGTACAAGTGATGCCGACTTTCTAGGCCAGTGATACCCAAGATGAATGCTACCCAGAATGAAACAACAGCAATCAGATCCAATCTGTTGAAGGAATGCCGCAAGAATGCGCGCCGCGCAAGCTGGAAACGCATCTGAGCTTCCACAGTTTCTGGAGCATCTGAAGGCCCATGCATAAAGGTCGTAAAAGATCGAGTGATGGTTGGTTGATCAGGATGAATTTGGCGATGAGCTTTCACTGACCGCTGAGGTTGGGGCTGAAAAAAAGTTCGATATTGTTCTGAGATGATGGCACGGACTCCTTTCTTGCGATCGATCGTGCTATACTCTGCTGCATTAATGACCAGACCCGATACAACTATACGCGCTCCTATCTCTAGGGTGAATACTATGAAAAGGACTAGCATTGCCCAATCCATTACCTTGCCACCAAAACGCTCGGATCGTTCATGGCCTGGCGTGAATACACTTGGTCCAGATTCAACAGCCAGCAGAACAGCTTGAAGAACGATCAACAATAAGATGATGGGCTCAGTGTATGGATTCACAAGAGCATCGCAAAGTCGGAGCCGGAGTTTGCTCTGAGGGGAAAATACTCCAAGCGAGTGTCCTTTCAACGGGTTGACGAAATTTCCAGGCGGCCGTCGCGGTAAAGCTGCAAGAGAGCCAGGGACAATTTGTTTCTCTCCTGCTGGTTCAACAACCTGGGGCTGGTATGAAGTATTCCTGTGTATTGAATTCATACCACCTGCATTGTGTTCATAGATTAGGCCCTCGGATGTTCGAGAGGTCCTTGCCGCTTGTAATGACACTCGCTGGTTAACTGCAACCTCGCTTTCTCCGCTGATATTGACCACTCTTTGTGACATTGCGCGCACAATCGAGCTAGCGCGACGGAATGCCCCCGATGGAGATGGCGAGCGAGATGGACCTGCTTCGCCGGGAGTAAGCGTCATACCATAAGCGCGGTTTGGACTGCTAGCAAGACTCGGCGGCTTTTGGTCAGACGCTCGCAGTGTCTGCCTCCCTCTCGAAATGCCATTTCCCAGATCAAATGAACGAGACAGGCTACCATGTGACGTCGGCTCGGTTCGATCAAAGGCTCCGGAAATCGGCTGTGCTTGAGATGTCAACGGAACATCATCAGACTCCGCATATTCTTGATGCCGCGTCTGGCCCAAAACGACAGGCTCTGCATCGAAAGGGTTGTCAGGAGAATAAAAGAAGCCGTCATGTGGCGCAGAGAAACTCTGCATTGCAGGGGGCAGTGCTATTTGCAATGCTGAAGAGTCTATAGGGGACTCAGATCTCGTGTATGGCCTCGTCATCGGAAATTCAGGAGGATCCCAGCTCCTCGCAGCATTGGTAATATCAGAGCTCGGGTGTCGTGAGGTCGGCGTGGCTGGTGTCGCGTGTTGAGCAGGGCCTAAGTGCTCAGCGCGATTTTCCCCGCTCTCCTTGTTTTGTGCTCTATCCTGGAGCTGTATCGACATGCGCCAGCGCTGCTGGCCAGTGTTGGTACCCTGCTGCTTCATGGTCATCCTGGCCTTCCTCTGGCTATCTGCTACTTGCGCTTGGCAGTATCATAGCAAAGGCACAGCGTGGCGATGGGAATCCATATACCAAGCATTTGAATATGTAAACTGCAGAACACATCCAGTGAATGATTTCGTAGTAGGTGGTTATGAGCTTTTTGTCGTGACAAAGCATTAAAATTGTCGTGGCAACAACACTCTTCAAACACCCTGGGCCGCACGGGGGGGGGTCAAGGCGCCCATGTGTCAACACAGTCATGCACACTGTGGGAGTACCAATTTTCTTCCAAGGTCCTCGCGAAAATTCTTGTAGCAGACAGTGCTAATTGATATTCTGTCGACGCAAGTTCAGCCCGACGCAATGCTAAAACGGCCTATCTACCCACTTACCATGTTAGCACGCTAACTAAGATTCCATACCTACCTATTTATGTATTGATATCACTAGTGCCAGCTCTGCGCCTCGCCATCTCGACTGCGACGGGATCATTCGAATCGCGCAGCCAGGTGCTTCGAAAGTTACGCCCTCGTCGTTTCAATGTCGTCAAAACAAGTAGCTATAGCAGCCACGGATGGTGATATGGACAATGTAGTTTCGCCACTGCTACAACGTATCCGAAACATGTGGGAGTTTGCCAATCTTTGCCAGTGGATATACATATTTGGCAAGGCTGCGAAAATCGACGAAGCACTCGAGATCGAGGTAGGGACGGCGTACCTGGCAGTCTCAATTCCAGCATTCTCTAATTTGACTACGGCCCAGGACATCGAAAACGAATGCCTCAAGTCTTCTTCAACAATTTTGTCTGATATCGCCCTAGCGCTACTGAAACTCGTTTCGTCACATCGCGGTCTGACGTGAGTATCCGCAGCGCATCCTATAACTAAGGCCAATTCGCGGTGCATATTCTGATTTATTTCTTTCAGCCACGAAATCCTCAACGACCAGCTGCGCAAAGAATACAGTTTCAGACTACCTTTCCAAAATCCACTGGGCGACGGTGAAACTAATTTCTCCGATCTTGACACGCCGACTAAAGTATCCATACAGCCTAACTGAACTGCGCCAAGTTGGTACTGACATTTTTCTAATAGATAATCGCTCTTCAGCAGCTCACGCAATGGGTCATGAGTCGACCTGAGCGATTACGAGAGAAAATGGAGGAGTTACACGACATTGATCAAACCAGCTGGGTATGTGACTCTCTTTCGCTCGACTTCAAGCTCATGATTCTTACGCGATCTTGCAGAGAATTGAACCCTATGGCTGGGATGCCGATGACCGCACGTACTACGTCTTGGATGATAATCGAGTCTATCGCTTATCCGAAGCTTCAGAACCACCAGTGCGAAGGCGCAAGAATCAGAAGACATATGGTGCAAATATGCGGTCCGGGAGAGGTCGACAATCAGGCAGGTCTATAACAGAAAACGGTGCTGCACCAATATCTTCCGATCCTGATAGCCCACAAGCGAAGAGTAACTTAGGCGATTTGGATTGGGAGTGCGTGGCTGTCACGCTGGATGATGTACGGCGCCTGGTCGACAAATTTCGAAAGACGCGTGATGCGAACGAGAAAATACTGCGAAATCAGCTCGATGCGCACTTGTTACCAATATTGGAAAAGCAAGAGGAGTCAAAGAAGAGGAAACAGGCGCAACACCAGCGGGAGTTGTTAAGTCTTGCCAAAATGGTCAACGCAAAACGCTCCAGTCGAATTGCTGGAAAGGTCGAGCAACGAAAGGAAGAAGAGAAAGCGAGGGCGCAGCGCGACATGGCCGAGAAAGCACTTCAGATTGAACAGGGTGAGAGATTGAAGCAAATAAAATCAGAGCGAGAGCGAGACTTCAGAATGTTCTCAAGGGAAAAGAGGCTGAAAGAGAGGGCAGCAAGACGACGCTTGCACGAAGAAGAACTGGCTCAACTTTCGGAAGGTCGCGATCCTGCCTCCGTTGGCCGCGCTCGTATTTCTGGCCGGCAGCTACAATCTGAAATTGATCGCAATAGACTGGCGCTCAAGGCATTGGATGGTGAAGAAGAAGATTGGTCTTTTGATTGCGTGTGCGGCTTGCATGGACAGGTTGACGACGGTGCCCACAGCGTTGCTTGCGAAAGATGCAATGTTTGGCAGCACAGCAAATGCGTCGGAATTGAGGAAGCTGAAGCTGATCGTGCAGAATTTCATTTCATCTGTGTTAGTTGTAAGCAACAGACGGAAAAGGCGAGCACTTCTCGCAACACTGTTATCAAGTTCAAGGCCAGGACCTCTGGCAAGTTAATCCCGCACCCGTCCGGTGACAGGGCATCGCAGGTCATCCCGCAGCCGTTTCTACATCCCACGGATCCCGGCATGTCAATGAACATGTTTCAAGTCACCAACGATCCATTTGGTACCCCGCAGGGAATATCACAGTCATCCACCAGAGTGGAAGACAGCGTTAGGACCAATACGAAGTTGTTTTCCAATAGCAACGATGTTGGAGGCAGCACTGATGAACCGGAAACTCGTCACTTCAACAAGCAAGGAGTCAACGGAAACGGTTGGTAATACCAAGCCAATGGGAACTGGAACATAAATGCCACCTGCCACGAAACCAATGCGACACATGGCTCCAGCAATTGGCAGTGGACTCACAAGCTTGGTCTGGAGAATTTTTGTCGGGTTGACCACCCTGCCGATGTATACGCATCATTCTACGACATGTCAACGAGCCTAAAGAAATGGTGTGCAGGGGATGCGTCGAGGCCTCAGGTGGACGAGCCATGCGGTGGCAGACCACAAATGCTGAATAAAAATTCACTCAGCAAGACTGCTCTTCTATCCGGAACCTGCATCTGCCCTTATTTGGGGGACGACAATCCAGGCCAAAATGTCCAGGCTTCCGCGTTTGAACCATTACTTGATTTACTTGATATACGGGAGTTGCTTGAAATGCTTCATTTGCTTGAATTTCTTCGAGAGAACTGACTTTCTTTCTGTACTACCATCAGAACCGCCGCCTACATAAGCAGATTATCGAAAGGTGTTCTCTTCAAAATGATTCACTTGATTGAGTAGCAAGATAATTTCCCTGGAATACTAAGCTTTTTCTTTTTCTTGAACGCTGTGCAAATTAGAGAACGCCACTCCGGCAAGCAGTACTCTTGATGCCTACAGGATCGGTCACATATTCAGAAGACCCGTGACAGTCGATCGACCTTTCGCGAACTGTCAAACAGGCCATGCTCTAGGATTTGAAGGTCACCAGTATGTAGGGCATTGAGAATCGTCTTGTTCGTACGGATGGGTAGCGCTAGGCATGCAATAGCCGAAATTTCGAGGAATTTCAATGAATCATTGCCCTGGGCAGAGCTACGACAAGAGTGCACGACCACTGAAAGCAAACTGGATGGCACGACGAACAAGCGGCCGGGCGAAGCGGGATAGTCTAAAGATTTGGTCTATTATCGGGCCAGACGAATCACTCAGGTCGGAACAGACTCAGCTGCGCTTGAACCATCCTGCTTTGAACTGTTATTTTTAGTTGGTGAACGGTTTAAGTTGACACGTGGAGAGTACGGACATTAAACAATGAAATTGTAAATTTTGTGGCTCAAGAATTCGTATCTGTCCAATCAGCATCTCTCTCTTCCCGTCACCTTAGTTGTCATGTTTCCCGCAGTTCGTTGTTCAAACCCGTTGCGGGCGCAGTTGGCTGGTCCGTGACACCCCCAACATTGTAACCAAAGAAGTAGAACCACCCAGTGGTAGATGCGCCCGTTTTGTGACATTGTGCGATCCACTCTTGGATAATACTTAGAATCCGTCTGAGGCCCTTTTGGCGGCTACGAAGAGAGTGACGGCTTGTGCGTGCCCTCCAACGGTTTGCAGCCTTGTATCAAGTGGGAGCAGCGACCGTCTGAGCCACTGCGTTTTATATCCCTCCAGCCCTTCAAAAAGGGCGGTTTCCCTCTGGTGCGATCCCTCACTCGGAGCATCAGAAATAACGACCACACGTGACAGCGTTGCCCGAATACCGTGATCACTCAAGCCTCAAACATTACACGCAACCTCTTTGTCATCCAGTCGACACAAGTGAATACAAAGGGTTTCCATGAAGGTTTACTTACTACATCTATTACACATTCGAGATATCCCTCTGCCTTGGGCAAACCTTTCATAGCGATTCACTGGCCGCTCAAAGCTTCTCGATTAGAGCAAAAGTTCTGGCAATACTTCCAATATGAGCCCCAGTCCCAGCTCAAGACCGTCGACATTGCCCATGAAAACAAGAGAAATACCATCTTATGCCTCAAATCATATTCTTCGCGCTTCCCAGATTGCGGACATGGGCTCTGGCTACGCCTCCGCGTCGAGTAGCGGCGTTCACTCTGTGCCCCAGCATAACAGAGTAAGTGTCTTCTTCAAGAAATACTAATCATCAGTGCTAATCCTCTTTCTTCAGGCATCTGCCTCTGAATCTGGCCATTTGATATCGATTGATAGTGGCAATGCCATGACGAGAATCTCCCATCGCCCCGTCAGAGACGTTGAGGGGCACAGGAGTCAAAGCAAGGAACGCAGAATTGAAAAGAGAAATCTGAAAACTCCACCCTCTGCCTGTTTAACGAAGGCACTTTCGGAAATTGCACATGATATGCCTAGTATCAGTGTCGCAGATGTGGCGACTTTTGCGAACCGTTCGACTGAGGTCCGACAGATGGAGGCGGCTAAGGCTGGTAAGGTCAAGCGGCCGCTGAATGCATTCATGCTTTATCGAAAAGCATACCAGGATGTTGCGAAAACTCAGTGCAGTCGCAACAATCATCAGCAGGTCTCAACAATTTGCGGGAGCTCCTGGAATGCCTGGGAGCCTCCCAATATCATCGCTCAGTTCAAGCAGCTAGCATCCATCGAGAAGCAGATGCACGAGGGAGCTTTCCCAGCTTATAAGTATGACCCGGTACAGACAAAGAAGCCTAAGGACGGCATAGAGCAGGATTACAAAACGTGTGAGTTGAGTGACGGCGAGTCAAGCTGTCGTCCCCGACGAAGTGGCAGGCAGCGAACTACTCGAGCTACTTCTCGGGTGAAACAGTCGTTCACGTTGGAGGTGCCTGATCAATACCGAGGTCTGTCTGGTACCCATTCCCAGCCCCCAGGTGGCACCTGGCAGCAGTATCAGGCACTTCCGTTCCCTGACTGGTATATGCATGGCGGCCTTCCGGCGGATGCCCCTCAATACGCGCCGCGCGGCGAGCAGAGAGCTGAGAACCCGGATGCTGGTGTCGCGTTCGGTTGCACCTCGTCGGATCTACAATTCCAAGGTTATACGGGCTTCGTTGACCCATGCCTCGACCCTTCGCTACAGACAGATGTGCCAGCGTCTCAATATAACCAATTTCTTGGTAGCAATCACGACATGTTGCCAGGCTGGATGAGCGTTGGTGGTGCTCAAAATGCATCCACGGCACTTGTGCCGGAGCTGGACATTACGGGCGCACATACGGCTTATTTGCAGGGCACACCTTCCGATTGGCAGGTCGAACAACTGGAGGACGGGAGCCATTTCAGCGACTGGATGACGCAAGCAGGAAATGGTGAGCATCAGTAGCACCTAGATAGGTACGTAGTTTGGTAGGTACCTACCTACGTAGGTAGGTGGCTGGAACAGGCACGACAGGTACCCGAGTAGTTGTACTTGTGAGTGGGCCGTCACGGTAAGTGTGTGTGGTTGGGGCGTGTGATTGTTTGTCCCCGGGCGTTTTGGTTTGCTTCATTATTGTTACTATTTACGCATCCGTTTCCTTTCTGGTCTGGCCTCTTTTCTCTTCTGTGGCCGGCAATCTGCTCTGCGGTTTAAATTTTCTGTTATTCCTGGGGAAACTATTTTCAAGTACCATGATTCCATTGGCCAAGTATCCGATTGTTATAACAAACACTATATTAATTAGTTAGGCTTGCCACAATAAAATGGGTTCTTGTGCCAATAGCCCTTGGTGTGCAGCCAATAGCAATTTGAGCCTCGTAAGATCTTGCATACGTAAGGTTCCATGGTAAGACTTCATTCTAACGGTATTCACCTTTTCCGGGTTCGCTGGGCGCCACGCCGCGATGTCGCTACCTAGTTAGTAGGTAGGGTAGGGGAGGCTACCAGTGGTCTGTGGTCAAATGCAGACCTCTCGAATAACTATTCACATCTTTGATGAAGATTTTCAAAGGCTGGGAACCTCGAGATCATTCCGAGCTTATCAGCCTCTCTCCGACGTAAAATTTTTCTGAGCAGTAACAGCTTCGAAGAAAGAAAAGGCCTTCAGCAGTAACTAGCAGCACAGCCGGCACGAAGGACTAGGGCCATGATTCCGAGACTAATTCTCAGTCCCTCGTAAGACTACCCTATAGTAGGATTTCTTAGCGTTTTATATAAAGAAGTTACTTAATATACTATCTATACTTAATATCTTAGAAGATAATATTCTTAATATATAGTTATATTATTTTTAAAGTTAAATATCTTATTATTTTTATTAATATTAAAAAAGGTTTTATAATAAAAAATTTTTTA